AAAAAAATCAGCAAGGATACAGATTTGAGCAACAGTGCCTACCAACTTGACCCAAATGGCATTTATAGAACACTGCACTGAACAATAGCAGAATGCACATTCTTTTCAAGTGCATATGCAACATTCACCAAGATAAAACCATATCCTCAACCATACAAGAAGCCTTAATAAATTTACAGGAATTGGAATAGTGCAAAATATGTTTCTGGACAATAATGGAATTAAACTGAAAATCACTAACAAAATTATATAGAAAGTTCCACACATTTGGAAATTAAACAGCACAATTCCAAACAGTCCATGAATCAAAAAAGATGTATTAAGATAAATTGTAAAAAATTTTTAAACTGAAAGAAAATAAAAATATAGCATATCAAAATTTGAGAAACTTAACTACAGACATACTGAGAGGAAAATGTATGGCTTTTAAAAAGAAAAAAAAATCCCTCAACTACCCATCGGGTCTGGAAAGGAACTCATCCTCATGGTCCAATTTCCAGTCAAGCAGTAGATAAGTATATATAGAGACAACAACATTAGTATGTTCAACCATTCAAAATCAAAAGGGCAACATTTACCTAAGGACAAAGTTGAGAAGAGATGGGAAAGTGGATGGAATGGAAATTGGATGCACAGGGAGGAAGCAGGATAACTGTTGTTGCATGGAAGGGATTGCAATCATTGAGATGAAACAAAATGTATGATTTGTTGAATATAAAACCGATGATCTTTTCTAGAAATCTTTACTCAATTAAAAGTTTTAAAAAGAATAAAAGGTCTTGAATCAAGAACTATCTACTACCCTAAGAAACTAGAAAAAAAGAAAGAGTGAAAGAGCAAACTAAACAACCAGAAGGAAAGAAATCAGTGAATTTGAAAACAGAATCATACAGAAAATCAGTGAAACTAAAAGTTGTTTATTTGAAAAGAGCTATAAAATTTATAAATGTCTAATAAGAATAATCAAAGAAAAGAGAACAAAGACACAAATGAACCCTCAGATATTAAAAGGCTAATAAAGAATACTATAAATAACACTATGCCTATAAATTTGACAATTTAGATTAAATGACCAATTTGTAGAAAAGGAGCTCTGGTAGCATAGCGGTTATGAATTGGGCTGCAAACCTCAAGGTCAGCAGTTCAAAAGTACCAGCTGGTCCACGGGAAAAAGATGAGGCTATCTGCTCCCATAAAGATTTACAGCCTTGGAAATTCTGTATAGGACCGCTATGAGTAGGAAGCGACTCCACGGCACATAACCAAGGGGTAGAAACAAGGTACCAAAACTCACTGAAGCAAAAATATGTGGCATTAGTCTTAATTTATTAAATAAATTTAATTTGCAGTTAAGTCTTTCTTAAAAAGTAAACTACAGACTTAGTTTCACTGCTGAAGTCTATCAGTTAAGTCCAATTCCACACACTTCAGAAAATTGAAGAGGAGGAAACTCTTCCCAAGTAATTTAATGAGGTTAAAATTACATTGATACCAAAACCAGAAAAACACAGGTATAGGAAAAGATAACTGCAAACCAATATGCCTCATAAACACTCAGCTTAACATTTTAATAAATTGAATCCAGCAATATATAAAATACATTATGATGAACTGGGTTTTATCCCAGGAACACAAGGCTGGTTCAATATTCTAAAATTAAGTAAAGTAATCTACCATATTATCAGATGAAAAAATAAATCCATGTGATCATATTAATAAATATAGAAAAATTGACAAAATTCAATATCTATTCATAATTTAAAAAAAAAATATCTCAGCAAACTAGGAGTAGAAGAGAATTCCTTAAACATCTTTTTAAAAACCACATACAGCTGGCATGATACTTAATAATAAAGTACCAATGTTTGTCCCCTAAAATCAGGAGCAGGCAAGGATGTTCACTCTATCACTTCTATTTAATCAAATTTAATTTTATTAAATTTATTTAGCTAATTTAATTAATCAATAAAAAGTAAAAATAAAAGATGTACAGTTTGGGAAAAAAAGACATACAACTGCCTCTTTTCATAGAGGACATGCTTTTAGAATAAACAATACAAATTCTAACCAAATTTTTCTGGAAAAGAGAAAAGGAGGGACACTTTTAATCTCACTTAATTATTCCATAATTTTTAAAGCATCAAATAGAAAACAGGGTTCTCATTACTTACAAGGTCCCCAAATCGAAGTCATGGCCCATTAACTCCTCCAGCAAGTTGGTATCCAGAACTGGGTTTCCCAGTGCACTGGTGACCCCCTGAGCTGCAAAGACAAATTCATTTGTTACAAATCTTTACCTTAAAACACTTAGAGAAAATATTTTGCACAGCTTTGCTAATAACATTTTTTTAATGTTTAAAATTGCTTTTTAAAACAAATAAATTATCAAAATTGATTCAAAAATAAAGAGGAATAAACTGACAAAAAATTTCACCCGTTACCATCTGCCTACCACTGCAAAGGAATCCTGGTGTGATGCTGTGGATTAATGCTCCAGACTGCAAAGTCATTTGAACTACAAGGCTGGTGGTTCAAACTCACCAGTCGCTCCTTGAAAACCCTATACAGGGTGGCAATGGGTCAGAATTGACTTGATGGCACTTAACAACAACAACAACCCCTGAGGAAGGCTGTTCCTTCCACAAGGGTGGTGGTTCCAGCCCACCAGCTGCTCTGTGGGAGAAAGATGAGGTGTTCTGCTCTGGCAAAGATTTAAGCCTCGATAAGTCTATACAGGGTCATTATGAGTTGGAACCAACTCAATACCCTTGTGTGAAAGAACAGATGGTATTATCACTCATGCCTGTAAAACTTTAACAAAATGATAATTCCTCCATTATTTGTAATAATTTCTCTAGAATAATTGCACTAATTCTAGAATACAGAAGAAGATGAAAAGCCTTTAAATTTCTACAATGCCAGTATAAAACTGATACAAAAATCTGACTGAATTAAGAAACATTAAAAACAACAACTGCATGTTAACATCATTTGTGCATATTATACCAAAATCCTAAATGAAATATTTTCAAATAGAATCCAGCATAAGGGAAGAAAATTTATCCTGAAGGAATACAGGATGGGTTAATAATACTGGAAGTCAAATGTCAAAGGTAAAATTGTACTTGAACTTCTTGACTGAAGAAAAAAGGTATTTAATATTCAACATCTTTTCTAATGAACACATTCTTTGTTGTTGTTTCTGTTGTTAGGTGTCATGGAGTCTGTTTCCAATCATAGCACTCCTATATATAAAAAGGAAACACTGCTGATGCTGCACATCTTTACAATCAGTGCTGTATTGGAGCCCAATGTTGTAGTCACTGTATCAGTCCATCTCCTTGATGGTCTCCTGCTCTTTCTCTGACTCTCTTCCAAGCATTATGGCTTTCTCCAGTGACCGGTCCCTCCTGGTAATATGGCCACAGTTCTTGAGATGAATCTTGTCATTCTCACTTACAAAGAGTATTCTGACCTTCTTCCAAAACAGATTTATTCATTCTCCTGTCAATCCATGCTATAGTCAATATTAGTCACCAACACCATAACTCAAATGCATTAATTTTTCTATACACTTCCTTATTCATTGTAAAACTTTCACATACATATGTTGTTGTTGTTAGGTGCCATCGGGTCACTACCAACTCCTATGCACAACAGAATGAAACACTGCTCAGTCCTGGGCCAACCTCACTATTGTTGCCATACTTGAACCCATTGATGCTGCCACTTTACCAATTCATCTCACTAGGGGTCTCCCTCTCTTTTTCTGGTCCTCCACCCTTCCAAACACGATATCCTTCTCTAGCAACTGGTCCCTCCTGACAACATGTCTGAAGTATGAGACTCAAAGTTTGGCCATCCTGGCCTCCAAGGAGCACTCTGGCTGCACTTCTTCCAACACAGATCTGTTTGTTCTTTTAGCAGCCTATAGCACTTTCAATATTCTCCTCCAACACCATAATTTAAAAGCATCAATTCTTCTATGGTCTTCCTTATTCACTGTCCAGCTTTCACATGCATATGAGGTTATTGAAAACACCATGGCTTCGGTCAGGTGCACCTTAGTCCTCAAGCTGACATCTTTGCTCTTGAACACTTTTAAAAGGTCTTGTGCAGGAGATTTTCTTAATGCAATAAATACGTCATTTGATTTCTTGACTGCTGCTTCTATGAATGTTGATAAAACAATGAAGTCCTTGACAACTTCAATCTTTTTTCCATTGATAAGAATGTTGTTTATTGATTCAGTGGTGAGGATTTTTGTTTTCTTTACATTGAGATGCAATCCATACCGAAGGCTGTGCTCTTTGATATTCATCAGTAAATATTTTAAGTCCTCTTCACTTTCAGCAAGCAAGGTTGTATGATATACATATCGCAGGTTGTTAATGAGTCTTCCTCCAATCCTGATGCCAGATTTTCTTCATATAGCCCAGCTTCTCAAATTATTTGCTCAGCATACAGCTTGAATCAGTATGGTGAAAAAATACAACCAAGTCGCACACCTTTTTTAACTTTAAACCAGTGTTCTCATGTTCTATTAAAAAAACTGCCTCTTGATCCAGGTACAGATTCCTCATGAGCACAATGAATTGTTCCGGAATGTTCATACTTGGCAATGTTGTCCATAGCTTGTCATGATCCACACAATAGAAAGCCTTTGTGTAGCCAATAGAGCACAGGTAAACATCTTTCCGGTGTTCTCTGCTTTCAGCCAAGATCCATCGGCCATCAGCAATGATATCCCTCATTCCACAGCTTCTTCTGAATCCAGCTTGAACCTCTGGAAGTTCTCTGTCAATGTATGATTGCAGTTGTTTCTGTATTACCTTTAGTAAAACTTTACTCACATGGGGTAGCAAAGATATTGTCCAATGATTTTGCAACTCTCTTTGGAATGAGCACAAATATGGATCTCTTCCAATCACTTTGCCACATAGTTGTCTTCCAAATTTCTTGGCAGAGATGAGTAAGTGCCTCCAGTGCCGCCTCACTTTCTTGAAAGATTTCAATTTTTGTTCAGTCAAATCCTGGTGCCTTGTTCTTTGCCGATTCCTTCAGCGCATGACTTCTCCCTTCAATATCATTGGCTCGTGGTCATATGCTACCTCTTGAAATGGCTGAACATCAACCATGTCCTTTTGGTACATTGACCCTGTGTATTCCTTCCATATTCTTTTGATTCTTTCTGCATCATTAGCTAATTTGCCCAGAGAATCTTTCAATAATGAAATCTGAGGCTTGAATTTTTTTCTTCAATTCCTCAAGCTTGAGAAATATTGAGCGTGTTCTTCCTTTTTTGGTTTTCTGATTCCATATCTTTGCACATTTCGTTGTAATATTTGACTTTGTCTTCTCGAGCTGACCTTTGAATTTTTCTGTTCAGCTCTTGGACCTACTCATTTCTTCCATTTGCTTTAGTACCTCTATGCTGGAGAGCAAGTTTCAGTGTCTCTTCTGAAATCCATTTTGATCTTTTCCTTAGTTCTTGTTTTCTTAATGACTTTTTGCTTTCTTCATGTATGATGTTCTTGATGTCATCCCACAACTCTTCTGGTCTTCGGTCTTTAGTGTTTAATGCATCAAATCTGTTCTTCAGATGAACTCTAAATTCAGGTGGGATATATTGAAGGTCATATTTTGGCTCTTGTGGACTTGTTTTCATTTTCTTCAGCTTCAGTATGAATTTGCT